TTGGTCTGTTTTAATAGAGTTAACTGTTCAAATGTATTTTTTCCATACAATTTATAATAGTCACGGCCGTTGTTCCATACTTACACAATCGTCTAATTCTGTCACCTGTGTGTGTGTGTGTGTGTGTGTGTGTGTGTGTGTGTGTGTGTGTGTGTGTGTGTGTGTTTGGTATACAGTAGAGCTACAATTTTTCACTGGCTGTGTATTTTTTATTTGTACTTGACAAATTTGGAAAACTTCCCGAGATATGCAATTCCATTCCTCTCCTTCATCTATTCCCCCGACACCACGCCACACCCCTTCGTCAGGAGAGAATCACTGAACATTGTCAGAGTTCAGTATTTATCGTTCAACAGTTCACTCATAGTTTAATCATACAATATTAATACAGGAAAAATATATAAATTAGTCATGAATAAACAATGAACAATCCGATGAAATTAGAAATATATAATAATAACAAGATGACACGTAGCAATATAATCCATCCTATACAATAAGAAAATAACTACACAGTGACGTAATGTTAAACCAGCAGGAACCCCAAGATGATTTGTTGATCTATAGAAAGAAAAAAATACAATCAAACCGTTAATAAACAAAGACATTGATACCTAAGTCAAAATAAAATATTATCCTCATATATCCTAAGAAAAATAACTATCTATCATGTGAACAGCCTAGTAAAGCAATGCGATGTACCGGGTATATACACTAGTGATAAACTCAGTATGTGGAGATCAGTGCGTGTGTGTGGATGGTCGGGTGACATGCGGACGGAGGAGAGAGTTTGGTAAGGGGAAGACCGCTATGATAGGATTTTCCCAGGTGTTCAAAGATATGATACTTTACATTATTACGTGTTGCTTATGTATCGAGTACTAGTTATTAATAAATGGATCACATGAAGATTAGTTCTCCCCAGTCTTATTTCACCCGCAAGATTAAACCAATTTAACTCTCATCTAATCTACCCCCCCCCCCTCCTCCTCCAGCTAGTGTTAGCGTGTTTAATCATCAGGTGAAATAATCTAGGGAATAATTTTTATGTGTGTCTATTAAAACAATGCGAGGTCTTAGGATCCAAGGTGAGGATTATTAGTTTTTTTAATAGGGATTAATTATATTAGATATATTGATTTTTATTTTGGTAAGTGAAGGGACAAAAGGAAGTGGGGATTTATTTCATTTTTTTAATCTTCCTCAAAATCCTATACTAAATGTTACATGGTAGATGTTTCGTAAGCATTATTTATAATTTATTTAATCCAGACCAAAAAAAGTTTAGAATTTGGACAACGATTAAGTAACGTTTTAATACAGTCCATTTTGAATATTTGTTATAATCGTTTCAAGCCACAAATCTTGCAGTTTCAACCAGTTCCAACCACTCTGATCACCCAATCTTCACTAGATAAGAATTACCATAATCCCCAATCTCTCTTAACCTCCTTAAATCACAGCATCCAGAAATTATACACCTTTTAACCTAACGTAACCTAAACCCAACCCATTTTAACATAAACCATTCTAAACAGTTGGTGAGAATAACATGTTTATCAAGACAAGGTTCTCCGCCACGTCCTGATCTTTTTTAAAACTCGCTCAGTTGCTAGTTAGAAAAAGTCTCATGCCTGGGTGCTGTGAGGGTCTGAATCATCCGAGTAAAGTAAAAGTTGTTGACAATTTCATCATCTACAAGTACGAGTGTATATGACTTATCCAAACGGGTAATTTACAAGTCTGATGAGCTGCGTCGGGTTAGTGTCATGAATTATTGAAAAAAAAACAGTGCTTGATCTCTCTTGGTACAATAGACCAATAGGATCTGCATAAACGAGATGAAAAAAAAATCACGCCAAGATTAGCTTCCCACAGCTTATTTCCCTTGATTAAACACCCTAACGCTACCTTGGGGGTTGGTTTAGGTTAACTGGGGGTGGTTAATCTTAAGGTGATATAACCTAGGGGGCTAATCTTCACGTGATTCACATAAACAAAGAGTTGGGATAAACAAAATATTTCGATAGGTGGATATATGGGTGAATAAATATATATAAGTTTTTGATATTGTTCGTTTTTGAGAATTTGTATGAGAGAGAGAGATTCAGTAATATATCATACAACTTGGCATTGTCTCAGACTTTACATAAACAGTGACGGCAGATAAACATTAAAAAATTCCCATTGTTCACTTGCTCAACCTTGTGATTCATGTTATGTGAGAGAGAGAGAGAGAGAGAGAGAGAGAGAGAGAGAGAGAGAGAGAGAGAGATATGCACCAGGGACCCACAGCTGTATGAGTGGTGTGCAGGGCTGGTCTTACTGTCCCCATTAGCATAGCGAGTCTAGACGTGTACAGGAGAGAAAGAGACAGAATGAGAGCAATAGAATATCCATTATATATCTTATGAAAATTTGGATGTAAAGTAACTTTTATATGGATTAACACATTTATTGTATAAGGAAATAAAAAAATAAATCCGGTACCATTGTATTTAACGGGCGTATCGTGTTCCAGTAATAATGTAACGTCAGTACCATTATATAATTTATCGTTTATATAATGAATCAAACTAGCCTATTTAACCTAACCAAACCTAATATACTGTACTAGTTATCTTCTATTACTTTATCCTATTCGCCACTGTTCGACCCATGAAAGAAACAAATTAAGCTATTTTCAAACTAGCAGGATGGACGGATAATATTGCGCCCGTTATATACAAGTTAACATGAATATTGAACTAATAATCCCTTTACATGAGCGCGAGACAAAAAAAAATTAAATCCTTATAATAGTTACGCCTTTCAATTTTCTCTGAGAGTAAAAATTTAATGATAGAAAACGTGTCCCATGCAGTATTATATGGTCAACTTATCTATTTTTTAATGCACAAAGTTTGATGATAATTAAGGCTTCTCTCAAAGAAGAATATTTTTAACCTCTAACTTTCCTTCAGTTACATTACCTGTACACCGGCGTCAGTATTATCAGTCTTTGTAATAACTCTTGGGATAACATTACTAATATACAGTGTTCAACATTCAATACACAATACAACAAGAGCTTTTTTTTCTGGTTCATCTGTATCTTACTTGTGTACAGCTTCTCATCATTTACAATAGTCATTTCCACTTTCACCTTAAATGATTCTCTCGGAGTGGAATCTGGGATGGAAGAGTGGGGGTCACCTGAGGATTGTCAACCTAGTTTATCGTCTCACCTGATGGTTAAACACCCCCAATGCTACACGGCTAATGTTAGGTAATAAGTTAGGTTAGAATGGGTTAGGTTAGCGTTGAGTTAGGTTTGGTTAAAATAGCGTTCGGGTGTTTGATTTTGAAAAGCTGGTGTGGGGTCCGAAAAGTGTCGTCAGTGGAGCATCACAAGGATATGACCACAGTATCATTGAGTAACATCGTGATATTTCGTACAATATAAAACTCTTCGGGAATTAGGAAAATAACAAGACCTAACCCCAATAGAGATTTATTTCCATGAACTTTACAAATGTCTCATTGGTTAGTAAACATTTTAGTAAATTGGGTCAGCTTATTTTTTCAGAAGATTAGCCACCTTAACGCTAACGTAACTTCCGCTGGTAGCGTTAGGGCACTTAATCATCAGGTGAAATAAGCTGGGAGATAATCTTCAGGTGATCCGCAAACTATAATAGTGTTCATGTAGGGCGGTGGCCATTGAGTGTGAACCTTTTTTGGTCGGAGTTCCCTTGGTCTCTGTGTTCCCTCCACGCACTCGTTATCCTGTCACTTTATGTAAGTTGCTGATAAAACCCATGACCCTTCAGGCATTTACGCCCTTAATGCATGAGTCACGACGGCAAGCTTAAACTACGCATTCTTCTCTGTTGGGCGCTGTAAAAAGCTTTTGCGCTTCACCTTGCACAGGTTGCAAGGGAGTTCCCAATTAACCCCCCGTGGGGCAAAAAAAAAATATATATATATATATATATATATATATATATATATATATATATATATATATATATATATATATATATATATATATATATATATATATATATATATATATATATATATATATATATATATATATATATATATATATATATATATATATATATATATATATAGAGAGAGAGAGAGTTGGCCTCTGTGGTGTCTTGGTCGTTTTTATATTTATTTCTTAAATAAGCTTCACGTATCATCAAAAAATGTTACATTTGGTATATTCTGTATATGTCTAGTATATCTTTGACTTTTCAAAATGTATCGCATGTTTCCCCTGATGATGTTTCATGAACCCCCTGGGGTCAATGGACCCCAGGTTCAGAACCACTGATGTAGGGTATGAGATTTCACAACACTGTTGTTCTGTTGACAAGGTTTCCCTCACATAATGTACATGGATAGGAAAAGGGATCTGGGTATTATAGTTCATTATTTTCTGAAAGCAACGAGGCAGAGGCCAGCGAAAAAAAACTACTTTGAATACGTGGATATTAATTCAGAAATGATCGATCAGCTCTGCAAATGGTTTGTACGTCCTCACCTAAACGGCCGAGTATAAACGTGTTGATCACACCTGCAGGAAGACATTACGTCACTTAGAAGAGCACAACTCACGATGTCTAAAACAATTCCATGTAGTCTTAAGGGTTGGTGTGTCTTCCAATAAGACACAATAAGGTAGATTTCAGGTAGACCAAATGACATTATCAACAAGATGGAAACATTAGGTCCGAATATATCTTCAAAGTGTCTAATAATACACAAACAAAAGCCTCGCTAAATAATCGTGCAGAACGGACATGAGGAAGTTCCTCTCTCAGAGGTAGACCTTAGGAACAGTCTACTTAATGGGGTTTGGAGTCAAGAACAGTGATAACCTTTTCCACAAGACTAAACAGTTTCATCAGGATTAATGCTGGGGGGTGTGTCAAGGTCTACCTCCCCCGGCTCGGTCGTTGATACCACAGGTGAACTTGGTACTAAGGTGAAACACAACTCCAGGATATTAAGTATAATTTATTATGAATACCAATACATATCTATTTGAATGTGTACTATTATAAGATGTACATTATCCTGAGAATCACTTTATAAATGTATATATTGATATTATTGATATTGCCTCATTGATATTCCTTATAAATAATCAACATACTTTGATAAATAATAACACTAGTAGAAAAATATAACAGCATATACCCAACAGCCCCACGCACCCTATAAGGCTCTTGACTGTCACGCACAACACCAGTTTGTTATGAGTGTGCTGAGCTCACTGTATCGGTGCCTGGGAAATCAATTATGCTGAATCGCGGTCCTTTGTGTAAGTTGGGTGCTGAAGTGTGTCTAAGTGTTGGGGTTGGAGGAGCGTCTTGAGAGTGTGGTGCTGTAGTGGGGTTGAGGGAAGTAGGCTGTAAGCGTGTTATTGTAATGTGGTTGGGAGAAGGGACCTGTGAGTGTGGCACAGTGGCAGGGTTGGGAGTCGGGTGTTGGGGAGCATTCTGTTCGATTAATCTAGTTTCCTCTACAACTTCATCGAGAGGGAGATTGAATTCAGCAGTATCTAGTTGTTTTGATTGGAACCTCTGAAAATCTACGTTATTGTCGTTGTCATCGTAGTCGTTGTAGTCCTCGTTAGTGTGTGCGTCGTGTTGGGCGTCGTGAAGGCCAGGATGTCCTCTGAAGGTTGACCCTGAAGATTCACTCCCTGTAACAGAAAAAAAATCAGTGAGTTATGTATATATAGAGACATACATACATGTCTTGATGGTTAATTTTATCATTGTCTCTTTTTACACTCCCGTAAATCCTTTTTTTTTAATGTAAATATTAAAAATAATCTGATTATTCAGTCTTCCTCGGATAGCAACTAAAGTTGATAACTAAGGAGAAAGGTTAAGGGTGTTGATTAATGTAATGGCAAGAGCGATGAAGGAGTAATGTTTGCATGACTATTTAATGGAATATTGAGAAATATGAGAATCTGGAGAATATTAAAAGAGCGAGACATGAACAATTCTCTTAAAAACACTACTATCACCATTGAATGTGTGAGTTCCTTGGTTTAAAGGTGAAGTTATAAACCACAGGTAATGGGGACTCACCGCCGCCGCCCTTGGTCGTGATGGGGATCCAGACGTCGAGCGGCTCACCATTCACCCCAAAACGCATATTCCTCATCAACTTTGCGTGGCTTTCTGATACCTGGGGCTCCTCTAGGCTCGAGGGTACTGGCAGAGGCTGAGACACCTCGTGCATAGGTCGGAAGTCCTTCTCGATCTCGTTACCCGAAGGGAAGCGAACTCCCCTTGCCGAAGGAGACCTGGGGGGTTCGACGAAGTTTTCTTGGTAAGGGGAACTTTTGAAGGATGGCTTGTTGGTGCCGCCATGAGGAGGTCCGAGTGAGGTCGTGATGTGTGGAAGTTGGATGAAGTCAATGGCGTCTTGATGGGGTCTAGGATGTAGGTTTCCTCGAGGCAGACGAGGGAGGGAAGGTCGTGGTTGTTGTATTTGCGTAGGCTGGAGTTGAAAATTGTTGGGCTTCCTCTCGTGGGGAAGGAATTGTGGGTGGCGCTGATGAGGTGGACGAGGGGGATGGGAATTTCCAAAAGGATGGGGACGTGTTGGTGTAGATGGTGGTGGTCGATGGGGCAGAGGACGAAGCTGGGGCGGAGGAGGAGGAAGGGAGGGTGGCCTTCCATCGTTAAATATAGGGCCAGAGTGATGAGGAGGATGTGTATTGGGAAGAAGATTGAATTGTTGGAAGTTGTGGGGTGTTGTACCGCTCTGAGATTGATGGTTCCCGCTGAAGGATCCGCCACTCGAAGTGTGCTCGATTATATTCTCGTTTTCTCTCGTTTCTGCATGTCGTAAGTTTTGTCGAGACGCGTCGTCAGTCTCATCTTGTGGTTGTGTTACTCGCTGGTCGTGATTTTGTTGATTACCAAATCTAGGTGGCGGAGGTCTGAGGCGGTCATCAGGATGTCTCAATGGCTGGCGAGGCGGAAGTGGACGATGGTTTATTATTCTCTGACCTTCTGCAGCTCCCGGGGGTCTTCGATTTCCCTGAACTACGGGGAACCTCGAGGGTGGACTGAGTGGGGTGACAGGAGGCCTATTTGGGGATAAAAATATGGGTCTTTGATTACCTTCACCCCTCAGAGGCTGTCTGTTGTCATGGTTACCGGTGGGTCTTCTGATATCCTGGTTGCCCTGAGGTCTTCTGTTATCTTTGTTTACTTGAGTTCCTCTGTTGCCTTGGGCAGTAGGACGCTGTCTGTTATTGTGAAACGCTGCGGGAAGGTTGTTGTTAACGTTGCCTTGGTTGAAGTGTTGTCTATTTCCAGGAGGAAGTGCCGTCACCTTACCGCTGGGTGTAGTGATCTGGACATGGGAGTGTTTGACGTCTGCTTTAGTAAATGTGAGAGGTGTGCCATTTATCACGATATCCGAAGGCGGGACAGATCTCTGATTAATACCTGAAGGAGTGAGAGGCTGAGTTCCTTGCGTTCTGCCTCCGACTGAGAGGGAAGGAGACTGAGGTGATGTGTTAGAAGGGAAGGGAGATACAACTGGTAGTGCAGGTTGGGGTGGTGGTCGTTGATGAGGTACGGTAGTGCTGGACAGAACAGGGCCACTTGACTGTCGTTGTGACGTTGTAGATTGGTGTTGGTCGACTCTCTGTTGTTGTACCGGCAAGTTATTTGGTCTTTCATTGGCTGGTAATAAATCGCGAGGTTTATCTTGAAGTTCATAGGCTATCAATCCTTGGAAGTCATTAAGGTCAATAAAGGGACGTTTTTCAATCACAGTTTCTGATACTCTTCTGGGGTCCCGACCATTTGTATTTGGTATTATTGCTGAACTACCTTTAGTAAATTCCTCAGGTAAGTTACGGGTGTCTCTAATTACATTATCACCTGGACGCTCTCTTGTATGGAGTATATTAGTGGAAGCAGGAGGAGAGGGAAATCTATCGGGTGTAGGAGTTGGAGGAGGTACAATGACTGACGAGGGCTCTGTCGGGGGGTCATAAGGCGGTGGTATGGGAGGGATGACAGGAGTCGTCAGCGAGGGTTTTGACAGCTGACCCTCCTGTGACACAGTTTGGCCTGGAGAAATCGTTGACTCCTTTGGGGTTGTGTGCAGAGGGGCCGGGAGTTTAAGGTCATAAAAGAAAGGGATTTCTTCTTTAAGAGAAAGAGCATATGATTCAGACTCCAGTGAGGGAGAGGGTGTTTTGATTTCCTGTGAGAGAGACAAGGGAGACTTCAGGAAGGGAGGAAACGGAAAATCATCACCGTGTATGCGTTCATTGTCAAAGGCTGGTAAGGGAGGAGGGAGAGGCCGGTGGTTCGTGATCCTCGAATCTTCTTTCCCGTGTCCAGATACTTCCTCGTGATTCTTGTGTAGTGATTCGCCTGCTTGGTGTGAGAGCGAGGAGCTGTGTTGTCGAAGGTTTGGTTCGTCCTGAGGTATCTTGTTTGGATGTGCTTGTTCTTGAGGGGAGTCTTTTTCTGGGCCTCTGGAGTGTGGGACTTGGTTCAGTCGTAGGTCCTGATGCGAAGGTACACCTTGTGGTGGGCCCTTATACAGTAGTGAGTTCTGTGACTGGCCTTGGGGGAACCGCAAGCCTTGTGGAACAACTTGATTTAATCGAACACTTAGTGGTAGGAGTTGAATTATTTGTGATCGTTGAGATGAGCCTTGATTCGAACGTACGCCATGTGGGGAGCCTTGATTCGGTTCAACGCCTTGCAGTGAGCCTTGATTAAGGTTTATGCCTTGTGGTGGGCCTTGATTCGGACGTGCGCCTTGTGGTGAGACTTGATTCAGAGGTGCGCCTTGCAGTGGGCCTTGATTCGGGTGTATACCTTGTGGTTGACCTTGATTCGGGTGTATACCTTGTGGTTGGCCTTGATTCGGACGTGCGCCTTGTAGTGGGCCTTGATTCAGGTGTGTGCTTTGTAGTGGCCCTTGATTCGGACGTCCGCCATGTGGGGAGCCTTGATTCGGATCAACGCCTTGCAGTGAGCCTTGATTCAGGTGTATGTCTTGTGGTGGGCCTTGATTCGGACGTGCGCCTTGTGGTGAGACTTGATTCAGAGGTGCGCCTTGCAGTGGGCCTTGATTCGGGTATATACCTTGTGGTTGGCCTTGATTCGGACGTGCGCCTTGCAATGGACCTTGATTCAACTGTATGCCTTGTGGTGGGCCTTGATTCGGACGTGCACCATGTTGGGGACCTTGATTCGAACGTGCGCCTTGTGGTGGTGATTGATTCGGAAGTGTGTCATGTGGCGGGCCTTGATTCAGTGGAACTCCTCGTGGTTGACTTAGATGAAAATTCAACGAGGATTCAGGGTTTCGAAAATTTTTGGGAAGACGTTCATCAAAAGGTTGAATGTTGTGTGCAGACGGCGGACTTTGCCCTCGAGGACTATGTTGTGTTTGAGGGATTTGATTTAGTTGGTTATGTTGCTGAGGATTCTGGGTGTGTTGTTGTCTTTGATTAGACTGGTGTACACTGTGTCCTTGACTCAACTGGTCCTTTTGTTGATACCGATAATTTGACTGCAACTGTATAATCTGTGATCCATCTTGATGACCCTTGAACTGCGTTTCTCGATGAGGAAGATTATTTCTTTGAATCTCCTTGTGTTTGTTTTGCTCAATGATTCTGAGGTCTTCTACCGTCTCCCCGAAATGGCCGCCACTTGGGGCTCCTCTCGGAGGACTCTCCTCGCGCCTCGTCTTGCCGAAGTTCTCATCAGTGATGCCATGTTCACTGAGGAACCTGTCGAATGAATTAAAGAACTGGCCGACCTTCTCCCCTGGGACGTTTCCTTTACCGAGCTCCCTTGCCTTCGTTGGGTCACCACCAGATTCCTGGGGGCTACCTGCATGGTACACATTATCACCTTCGTCAGGTAGGTTCTCTCGACCTTGTAAGACTGGAGTTGGATTCTGTCCTGCGAAGCGGGGAGGTCCTCGATCTAGCAGATACTCCCTGTTGAGGGGAGTCTTGTCCTCTTCCGCATCTGACTCACTGTTCCGTGCTCCCTGAGGACCATCGCCACCGTCAGCGCCTTTTCTGGGAATGTTTGTCGAAGGATGAGGCGTAACGAAAGGGAGGAGACGATGCTGGTGGGCAGAGGGCGCCACTGCTATGTCCTGAGCAGCTGTAAAACAAAATATATTTGTGACGGCAGCATAAAGGATGTCATGTGTTGTGCTTAATGGTTTAGATCATGATACTTATAGCGGTTAAGGTAATGCAATCATTCCCAAAGGATTCAAATATCTTACACAAGAGACAAAAGCCATACTCGAGAGTGTTCAAGCATCGTAGTCATGGGGGTAAGATACTGTATTCATGGGGTAATATACAAGTCTCAACAGATTAAACATCGTACTCAGAGAGTTAAACCGTTATACTAAAAGGGTTATGATGACGTCCTCAAGAATTCAAAACACCATAGTCAAGTGGTTTCGTCATCGTCTTTCCGACTGCAAGGGGTGTATGATACTAGAGCTTAATTTATCGTACTCAAAGGGTTGTTATCGTACATTTAATATATAAAGACGTCACAGAGAAGGGTTTAAGTGATCGTGCTGTAGAGGTTAAGTCATCGTACTGTTACAATCAACGTACCATCAATCGGCTGGGTCGTCTCTGGCAGTCTTGTGAATGTAATATAGGAGAACGATGACCCTGTGAAGAAAGTTTATAATCACAATCAGAAAATAGCAATCAGTGCTCAGTCGAATAAAGTCGTCAACAAACTTGATTACATTCAACTAAAGGTCAACAGTAACGGTGAATTACAGGATTTTCTTAATAATATACGTTATTTATAGCCTTTATGGTAGGTAATATTTTTGTATTTTCATTCACTAACATTCGACACAGTTAAGATATTAGTACAGTACCAGGTATAAGATCTGAGGATGGGGTCCAGGGAGGACTCTCTGTGCTGGGGTGCGTCTCCTCTTGTGCTGTGTCACCTCCTCCTCCTCCTCCTTCACCAGACGTCGGCCGAGCTGCTGATGTACAATAACTTATGAGCCTGAGTTCTTAGCTTAAGTCTTTAAAAAATATTGTTGAATTTTTTGTGTTAAAACTGAATTTGACTCGAAAAGTTTGTTGTGTTAAAACCTATATGTAGTCGTAAAGTTTGTTGTGTTAAAATTCTAATGTGGTCGTAAAGTTTGTGGTGTTAAAAGCTGAATGTAGTCAGAGGTGTATGTTTTAGTGAAAGTTTATGCCACTGAAGGAGTGTGTTGCTGTTTCTTAAGTTTGATTCATGGTTCGTAAATTTAATTAACAAAAGAAATTTGTTGAAATGTCATATTTTCTGATACTGGTCCTTGAAGCTGAATAATAACAGCAATAACAACAATAATAATAATAATAATAATAATAATAATAATAATAAATGCATTAAGGTAAACATATAAAAATAAACAAAGGCTTACACCACAGATAACTCAAGAATATCTCGTGTAATAAGAGAAAGGAGAAACATAAAGCTCAGGAAGTTAGTTAGTAAATCCACCACGTCACAACTTTCTCTCCTGCACACACACACACACACACACACGTACAGCGGGTCACGTTGCCTGTGTTATATATATAAGGAAAACTTTCACAGTAAACGAGACGGTATGATGATAGGTGTGGGCTGAAATGAAAGTGAAGACCATACGACCTTTGTGACGCTGTGTTATAAAAAGATTTTCCTCATTCACACGATATTTTACGTAGTTGATGTTAGGAGTTTGTGTTATTGCTGTATGTGTGTAACTGTGTTGGTGAGAATGGTAAAAGTAAGTTAGTTGAAGGAAATTTTGATGAATGGGTGAACTGTTGAAATAATAATAATAATAATAATAATAATAATAATAATAATAATAATAATAATAATAATAATGAGAAGAAGAATCACATATATTTTACTCACTTCTCCCATCTTTCGGTGATGACATCTCTATTATATCTTGTGTAGATTCGAAAATATGTTGGTGAATACGTTCGTCTTTGAGCCGATTTTCATAAGCATTTCTAGTGAACTTCCTGTCTTGTAAATAATGGTGAAGCTGTGAGTGATCATCTTGTCTCGGTCCGTCTTGCTGCACGACAAAGTTTTCTCTTCCGTGTTGTTTATTTTTGTTTTCTTTTATACTTCGTTTTAGCTCGTTGGCCAGAGGCAGTGGGACGTCGTGTGCCGTATTTACCAATGGACTTTCACTGGTTGGTGCAGATGGGAGAGTAAATGGTTGATAAACTTTGTATTCTCTATTAGTCAACTCATCTGTCAGCAGTGCTGTTGTATTTAAAGGCAAATTTTCAATTCTGTGGGTGGCTAATGGTCCCACTGTAGTTACAAACTTGCTTGTGTCAAATTCCAATTTATATGGACCGTTGGACTTTTCTCCTGTAACGCGATTTGTTCCCTCCTCACCGCCGGGGTCACGCACGGCTGGTCGCGGGGTCAAGAGAGGTGCTAGTTGGACTGAGACAAAAGGTTTCCCTCGCTGTATTGTAGTTTTCGTGTCCTTTGTGTAAGCTTCAATTTGTTTGGGAGAAGTAAAAGTTGACAATTTGTGTTGCTCGTCTTCACCGATAGTTACCTGTGCATTGTTCGTATTGTCGGATTTAAAATTCAGTTGTTTAATTGCACTTTCACTCCTAAATGGAACCTTGTATTCCACCACAGCTCGCGCCGTCGACTTGTCTGTTTCCGTGTCATGTATCTGTTGTCCCTCGCCTTCCTGCCTTCTCCCGTTCTCACTGTTTGACTTACGGGTCCCTGCGGCATGCTCATTATCTATGGGTTTTCTTTCTTGTCTCTGAACTTCTGGCCTTCGGTGGTCTTTCACGGGGAGGTCATCTGTAGCCTCTAGTGGGTGAGAAATTCTCCCTTGCTCGCGCCTCGTGTGTGTGTTCTTATCGCTGTGATGCTTCAGTGAGCCAAATACATTCCTCTGTATATTATCCGTAACTGTTGCTGTATCCTTCACTGGGTGTTGGTCTGTGGTCAGCGCATCACTGTTCACTCTGCTCCTCACTGTTGGTGTTCTCGGCGGCAGAGAAGTTATTGTAGTATAGCGTAGTGAGTCAGCGAATCTTTTAGTCTGTGAGTCGGAACTATGGTGGTGATCCAAAGAAGAATTTGACCCTATTTTCCTGGTCACAGTCCCATTCCTGCGGTACAGAGACGGCGGTAGGTCACGCCTGTTACCCCTTGCTGCCTGAACCGTAGGTCGGGTCTTTCTCTGTCTCCTTTCAAACCGTGTGAAGATATCTGTTGGTCTACTTCCTGACTCACTGAGTTGAGGGACCGGTAACACTGAACCCTTAACTTCGAGACCAAATTTTCTGCTATCAGTATTGACGTCCTTAGTGGAGGAGTTCCCAGTAGGTGAAATACTCCCCAATATATTATTAGTATAGTTGTCACCACCAGAGGAACTTGGGACTTCCGTGTTTTCGTTCCGATTACCTTCACCTCTTTCTAATAATCTGTTGAATGAGTCTGCATCTCCCACCTTGACTCGAGCTGTGTCATGACGGATGCGGTCGCCAAATTTTAAGTTAGCATGTACACTGAGTACCTGTAGCAGCAGGTAGACCGCGGCAAACACCTGTGGAAGAGAATTCAATAAAAACATTGTCCATGTACACATTCTACAGATGAATTATGTGAAAACAAAAGTTGATAGATATTTTATGGTAAATTTCATTACAATGGTCACTTACATCTTATTATAGTCAATTAATTCGCAAGTTTTATTTATTCTTAACTTAGCTTTTTTTAATAATTGTAAATCCATAACTAGCGTAAGTTTCTAGGGAATACTGTTATAATAGATCAAAACTAAATCTTGTAGTTTTTATTTCAGATTAATTTTAGATCATCCTTTCAATATAGCTGCATCTCTTAATGTTTAAATGTTGGCTTATAATGTAACTCTGTACTGAACCTCGAGTACAGTGCTTAAGACCATAGTTGTTAAAGCGCAGTAATACATCATAGCATAAAACATCAACAATGGTCAGTGGAGTAACATTATATTTCCTCTATTTTTACATAACACCGAGAAGTGAAGGTATTAAGGAATCAGTTGATACTTGTGTTTGTAAAGAGAGAAGGAAAGTGTAGCGTACAATAAAGATCTGATGATGATATTATACGTAAGAACACACTGATAACAACCTAGTCTTAGCGCTTCTTCCTGTCCAGTATATTACTTGTGGGAGTAATAACATAACTATAAAACTAACTATTTTGACCAACTAAATACATTAATAATAAAATCGTACATGAACACGAACTGGAGTGTCCTTGTATGTACGTGTGTGTGTGTGTGTGTGTGTGGAAGGAGTGAGGCCAGTGGGACGTCTCGATGAGAAAGTGCAACTCAATTTCTCGTGTTCCTCCACCTCCTTCCTGGATGTGTGGCGTGACCGACAAGCATTTCCCGGGTGTCATGGCTACCTACCTCTCTCTCTCTCATACACTGTTTACTGTCAATCTACTTATGCATCTGTGTATGTAAAGAGCATACAACAATGTATGCCAAAATAGAAAGAGAGAGAAAGGGAAGGTAACTCCTCGAGGCTGGCAACATTGCTACCTTGATCATCCGTCAGATAAGTCAAGCCACCACAAGAATGAGAAAATTTAGAAAGTTTGGTTATGAAGAAAGGCCTTCTTTATATATTAAATAGTTTTTATACTTAGAACGTCAAGACATTAAAGCATTCAACCGCGAGATATGAAATTAAGAGAAAATAAATAAACCACGCGGACACTTGGTTCAGTTTCAAATAGAATTCGTTTTAGTAACCGACCAAACGCGGGAAAAAAAGTGCAATCGGGAGTTTTCTAAAATAAATACATCTTTCACTAATTGTTACTTGCAAAATGGCGATACTTTTTTATTTATTTATTGGAAAAACAAGTTGGTTTATATATAGGGACGATCATATAGAGAACCGTAGCATAAATTATATATATAAAGAGCATCATAACCAAACCGAACCTAATATACGTATAGGTTGATTCTTATATAGACGTTTGTCATATATGAACTAATTCCCGTTAAGTTATTGCCCCACAAAAATAGCAAAATATTGTCCTCCTATTGATGAAAACGTCACTTGGTTATCACATTGCTGGATTTAGCTTATCCTATGGTGGATCAGCTGATGATTAGACACCCCAGCCTGGTTCACCTGATAATTAAACACCCTAACATTACCTAGAGGATTAGTTTACCATTACGATATTTAATCTTCAGGTGGAATAAACAGGTGGTGTCTAATCATCAGTTAATCCCTATGTAAACAACAGATTATATCACCTGTATACATAATCCAGTCATTAGCTTGAGTAACAGTGTTCTAAAATTGTTATTACACCTCCTTTGGCTGTACACCTTAACTATTACTTCATCCTGGCCATCTGTGGTGTGTGTGTGTGTGTGTGTGTGTGTGTGTGTGTGTGTGTGTGTGTGTGTGTGTGTTTACCTGGCTCTTCCCCACAAAACTCCTCCATTACACAAAAAATGGATCACGTGAAGATTAGACAACCCAGTTTATTTCATCTACAAAACACTTATATTAAGGGAGAGTTAGGTTAGGTTGTACTAGGTTAAATTAAGTTTTGCTATGTTAGGTCATGTTAGGTTACGTTAGGTCATGTTAGCGTTAGGGTAGTTAATCTGGAGGTAAAATAAACTAGGGTGCCTAATGTTCACGTTATCCACAGAAGCGTTTAGATATCATTTTTAATTTGTTTTTGTGGTATGAAGTACAGTATAACTCTAGTGCACCATAATGTGTATGGCAACTTACTGGTGTATGACAACTTGACAACTTACTGGTATATGACAACTTAAGACAATGGTGTATGACAACTTGACAACTTACTGGTGTATGACAACTTAAGACACTGGTGTATGACAACTTGACAACTTACTGGTATATGACAACTTAAGACAATGGTGTATGACAACTTGACAACTTACTGGTGTATGACAACTTGACAACTTACTGGTATATGACAACTTAAGACACTGGTGTATGACAACTTGACAACTTACTGGTGTATGACAACTTAAGACACTGGTGTATGACAACTTGACAACTACTGGTATATGACAACTTAAGACAATGGTGTATGACAACTTGACAACTTACTGGTGTATGATAACTTGACAACTTACTGGTATATGACAACTTAAGACACTGGTGTATGATAACTTGACAACTTACTGGTATATGACAACTTAAGACAATGGTGTATGACAACTTGACAACTTACTGGTGTATGACAACTTGACAACTTACTGGTATATGACAACTTAAGACACTGGTGTATGACAACTTGACAACTTACTGGTATATGACAACTTAAGACACTGGTGTATGACAACTTGACAACTTACTGGTATATGACAACTTAAGACACTGGTGTATGACAACTTGACAACTTACTGGTATATGACAACTTAAGACACTGGTGTATGACAACTTGACAACTCACTGGTATATGACAACTTAAGACAATGGTGTATGACAACTTGACAACTTACTGGTGTATGATAACTTGACAACTTACTGGTATATGACAACTTAAGACACTGGTGTATGATAACTTGACAACTTACTGGTATATGACAACTTAAGACAATGGTGTATGACAACTTGACAACTTACTGGTATATGACAACTTAAGACACTGGTGTATGACAGCTTGACAACTTACTGGTATATGACAATTTATGACACTGGTGTATGACAGCTTAACAACTTACTGGTATATGACAACTTAAGACACTGGTGTATGACAACTTACTGGTGTATGACAAGTTTATGACAACTTACTAACGTTTGGCAACTTATTGGCATACGACAACTTAAGGCACTGGTTTAGGAGAAGATAAGATTCTAACTCTCAAAAAATGTACAGAGGCGAAGAGCTTCATTATTTACACGACTAACACCTTATTTTTCTACACGTTAGCCATAAAGCTCTTTGGAACTTCAAGGCGCAATAACACAAGTGACACATGGCTTACCTTCTCCCCAGCCATGTTCAGAACGCTTCTATCACCTTGACATGATACACAGTGTGACCTTGATTGGACCAGCCGCGGCTTTTATACCGAGACCCGTCCATTCTGTATGCGCGGGGGAGGGCCGTTGGGTGCTTTCTTTTTGTTGAGTCGATTCAGAAGACTTGCTCTAAGGTGCTGATGATGTTGTGGTGTGAGGTGGCTCTGTAAATAGAAGATGTGTGTTAAATCATTATTTCTGGATATCTGTGTATTTCACTTAATTGTTTTAAGCTCTAGGTTTATAGTAAAACATTAGCGTCGTTTTAATTCATTATAATAACGGATGTTTATCGATTTTATGAACAATATTTAGTGAGGTGACGAATGTATGATTCTATACACATATACCACTTTGTATATTTACAAGATCCTGGTTAACACACACACACACACACACACACACACACACACACACATACTGGTTATCAGAAACATACACACAACCACACGTGTGCATACCTTAGTATACTTTCACATACTTCACTTGCTCTGACACACACGAATGCATATACGTAGAAAACACACAGACACACACACACACACACACACACACACACACACAAAACAGGAAGAATTAAAGTCCTCAAGTTTTGATAGTTGTTGACATTTCAGGAATCCGGTTAGAATTACTCGTTATTCCACATATATAATAACCTAACCTGAACACCCTTCCTACCAGTGTAATTTAGAACGCTTCCAAGAAGGTGCAGGTTCCGAAATCTCTCACGCCATTAACGCCGCGTACTCTATCGAATCTTGAGATCAACCTAAGACAATGGGCGTTAAACGACTACGAAGAAAAGGCGACGAAAATAAGTCTTCTTTTTTTTTACATCACGGTGTACTAATCAATCAGGAGCTTTCACTGAGGCACGTAGGAGCTATTTGCTCGTGATCCGTGAAGCCCAGAGAGGCACCAGGCCGAGAAATTGATAGTAGTCCAAAACACCAAATTTGGTTGAGAAGTTCCTTCCCTGGAATTTGCCATGAGTCGACATATTTACCATTACTGTTGATTATCCAAGTTCAGTATAAGTAGTATAATGAATAAATGCGTAAACGAATATAATGTAATTCAGTGTATGGAAATAAATTAACAAAATAAAAAATAGGTACTGTATATGAATAATTGAATAAAAGTAAATCGAAAAAATATATAGAAAAGATTAGGCAAATGAATTAGTGAATATAATATCCATTCATTGTACAAAAATAAATTGAAATGAAAATACTCAAATGAACACAGTATTAGCTACACAGATGACGTCGAATCAATATATTTTCATTAACAATACATCAACCAACAAATCCACCTTCTAACATAACAACAAACTAAATCGTTCATAATAACTATCAATACCAAAATAACACTGATGTAACGATACTCTTTTAAAAGTTGTATGTTGTTGTACGATAAGACTTGTGGACGATGCTTTGTAACTCTGGCAATTGAAGCACAGTAAACATTCCCAGCTGACATTAAAAGTGAAAATAATCCTTGACTCCTGGTTGATTCTTTAAGACATCCTTTATTGGATTTAAATGTGATGTAAACAGATGTTAGGAGGCTTGAGTTTTATATAAGGGGTTATTGTGTTTTGATATTTACGGTCATAGAGAGTTGTGACTTTAATAACTGTTGTGAGTTGATGCACTAGTGAACTTATTAACCTGGTTGTTGAAGCGCAGTTAATAACATTTAAGTTTATCAGAGAGTTGGATCTTTGTTTTTTATTGTTGACGTTTCGTGTATTTTCTAAAACATTTTGAAGCGCAGTAATACATTATACAGTATGTACCATCAAATTCAATACCTAATGTAATACCATATCTCTTGATTTATGATTATTGGTGTAGTTTATAAGCTAATCTAAAATAATTACATAAAAATCTTAGTTGGTGAAGTGCAGTAGTACAATATATCATCAACTACTTACGTTCTTGACCTTTGACCTTTTCAGAATGTAAGGGCATTACAAATCACCACAACACACCGGGTAGTGACAAGGTAATTCATATTCTGTAGGTAAAGCACACAGCTCAACTTAGTATACGCAGCGAATTGTTTTAAATCACTGTATAAATTAGAGAGCTCAGTGACTTAATCTTTTATAGGAGTTGAAAACAATGAAGAAGTGTCGTGTCTCTGCTTGCTAGCTATTTCACCACTTCCCTGTCACTTTCTACGTGTCTTTTTTACTTTTACCATTCCTTACTTCAGGTTTCTGCTTCCTCTGATTCATCCTAAGCATGTGTTGGGACGGAGTATGTATATATATATATATATGTTGCATGAAGAAGGAAATGTAGCGTTTGTCATTTTATTATATATATAGTGGGAAGGGGTACAAGGGCCTAATGTATAGAGTATAGATCTTCCGGGTTTTCTCATGCCTGGGGACCCTCGATTCACCCAAGGAAGTGAAGGGGTAAGGTATAGCGCCAGTCACATTTCCTCCTTATGTACCGAAAACTTATTACTGTATTCTGTGTTGCTGTATCCGCTTCCCAGTTTCAAAATACAGAACTAAATCGTACGTGCAGTACTAGAGGAGAATCAGCATTTTAATGAACTGTGACCTTGAATTTATACCTTAAGTTCAAGACGATGTTCGGGAAAAGATGCGACTTGTGGTGACTTTGCTGTTATATATTTGAAAAGTGTGTAGCCTGTGTGATGAAGCGAGATGAGGACCAGATGTATTTTGACTGACCTTACTGTACATGTTCGCTGAAGGAGAGAGAAGTGTAAAGGCGAGGGAGGGAAAGTATGTCTGAAAGAGGAACTTTAGCAACAACAACAGTGAGGCAAAACTCTTAGAAAGAGAAACCTAGGAAGGCTCGTGAGATTAGCATAGTCACCCCCGACTTGTCGTCTTTTCTCTTATGAGTGAGCAAGACTCGCCGCCAAGTGCAGCTGTTTGTTGACGTGTGTGTGTGGGGGGTCTGTGTTATAATAACAAAATTACCACGGCAACAGCAAAATTTGAATTTGAATTATGGACGGAAATATTACGACTACCATAAGCAGAGGATATCTTAAAATAGTAATTATTGTAACAAAAAAAGTATCTCGCATGATCAAGGGCTTTGTTGGCGAGCATCAGCTGAAGACAAGAACAGTAGAGAGAGAGAGAGCAGTAATATATCATACCTTATCATTCAAGTATATTGGATGATTGAGCATGATGTGAATGTCGATCAATTATGGTGGGTAATAGCGTCGTGAAGCATTCAGTCCAGATACACTCAAGAACAATACAATTATTATAGTTCTAAGCGCCAACTTTAGGAGGTGGTTTCACTTCCTCATCCCATCAATAAATTCCTCGTAATTGAAACTTATTTTATATGGTCTGTATATATTATGTAGTGAACAAGTGAACATTATTATTATTATGATTTAATCTGACAAGTAGCCGGTGGTCAGTAGTCATTTTACACGTATTAGTAACTCATAATTTGCTATTAAGATTGTAACGATTAGTTGTGTTAGTTACAAAGAATACCTCTCTTAAAAGAAACTGTATAATGTAATCATAATTATTACTTGGAGCAGTTCTTGAGGTACCTACATGTAAATACACTAAAACAACATCATTCATTTATCTTGTTATGTTTAATGTTGAAAAAAGTTGTTTCCTGATGTAGAGACTAAGTAACGGTGCTTAATAACCCTGGTAGTTGAAGCATTAGAAATAAAACGATAACATCAGCATCTGAGTGAAAGCGATGCAATAACACTTACAATTAAAGCACGAAAGATTAAAACTGAATCAATCCCGAGTTGATCTGGTATCAAGTGTTCAGTTTTGTATCGAATATGTACTTTCCGGTGAGATGAATTTTTAATTATTAATAACTAATGTATTTACTAAGGATTCACGCTTAAAGGCGTTAGTTCTTAGACCACAGTGATATATTATAACATCAATATCCTGTGCGTTAAGAAATGAGCGAAGGACCGGTGTAGCTAAAACCTCCATGAGATGACAAGTGACGATTGCCGAAACAGATTGGTTATTCCTGTACTTTGATCAAATTTTGTCAAGGGAAAAAAAAGCCTTACTGTGAGGAATGGATCCGCTATTGCCAGAAAAAAAAATATCGCTACCAATGAACGGAATTTAAAGTTGTTTAGTCGGAACCCAGGAATTTTGCAAGACACTTAACAGACGTGGCAGTTGAAACACCTAAATCTAAACACAACAACAGTATAGAATAAAGAGGTTGATAATGTAATACGACGTCATTGCCCTACTTTTTTCACACATATTTAACATATTCAGTACGGGACTAAGCTTGTTCATATATTCGTTCAAATGTGTTGTTTAGGCAGAAATAACGAAGGACCAGCGCACCTGAGGAAGTTTATCAGACGCTGGGAAGAAGAGGGTACGGCGAGCTGAGGTATTTTATACTTTGTGGTGAACAACAGGCCAAGGAGCAGGTCCTTGCAGACAGGAACGCGAGCGTTCCATGGAGGTTGCATGTTAAGTCCTATGACCTTCGAAGTGCAGATGACTGAGGACCTCAATTACCTTGTGTCCCCCGAATAACCAGAAGACGCCTGCACGAAAGGGAAGTGCACTACTTCATTCCAGCAATGAAGGATGTCCTTACGTGCTTGAGGATAAAAAATGCAAGATATGATGAACAGAAAATCCTGGCTAGACCCATATTATTACTCCTGATTTTCCTTCCTTGTAGACTGTTGATTTCAAATAAATTGTATATCGTTGCTCATTTTTCTTAACAAAAGCAGCAGTTGTGCTTTAGTGGGAGGGGGATGCTAGTAATCCACGTGTACCCACCACCAAGAAAGCCTGCATCCGTCGCTAATGCTACTGTAACTCTCTTTGTAATATTTTATTAAACAAAAAGATTGTAGACATACAGAAGTAAAGCCTTTGACAAGAACAAACCTAATTAACGTAGATAATGTAATCTTCAAGGTTCAGGGGCTCCAGCTACCAGGATCATTTTCACCGTTGGAGAGACGAACTGGAGACTTCGTCTTGTCATCGTGCGAACGCGATAACTGTAATCTAGATATTACCAAGGAGTCCAAGATGAATTTATGCGGAAGGAACTGTCCAGGCAC